GGTTGTTTCCTGCTTTCTCCTCTAGGGTTTTGATGGTTTCCTGTCTCACATTCAGGTCCTTTATCCATTTTGAGTTTATTTTCGTGTATGGTGTGAGAAAGTGATCTAGTTTCATTCTTCTGCATGTTGCTGTCCAGTTCTCCCAACACCATCTGTTAAAAAGGCTGTCTTTTTTCCATTGGATACTCTTTCCTGCTTTGTCAAAGATTAGTTGGCTGTATACTTTTGGGTCCACTTCTGAGTTCTCAATTCTGTTCCACTGGTCTATGTGTCTGTTTTTGTGCCAATACCATACTGTCTTGATGATGACAGCTTTGTAGTAGAGGCTAAAGTCTGGGATGGTGAGACCTCCCGTTTTGTTTTTATTTTTCAGTATTACTTTGGTTTTTTGGGGTCTTTTGTGGTTCCATACAAATTTTAGGATAGTTTGCTCTAGCTTTGAGAAGTATGCTGGTGCAATTTTGATTGGAATTGCATTGAATGTGTAGATTGCTTTGGGTAGTAATGCCATTTTAACTATATTTATTCTTCCTATCCATGAGCATGGGATGTTTTTCCATTTCTTTGTGTCTTCTTCAATTTCCTTCATAAGTTTTCTATAGTTTTCATCATACAGATCTTTTGTATCCTTGGTTAGGTTTATTCCTAGGTATTTTATGGTTTTTTGTGCAATTGTGAATGCGATCAGCTTCTTGATTTCTCTTTCTGTTGCTTCATTGTTGGTGTATAAAAATGCAACTGATTTCTGTACGTTGATTTTGTACCCTGAAACTTTGCTGAATTCTTGGATCAGTTTCAGTAGGTTTCTGGTGGAGTCTGTTGGGTTTTCTATGTAGAGTATCATGTCGTCTGCGAACAGTGAAAGTCTGACTTCCTCTTTGCCAATTCTGACGCCTTTGATTTCCTTTTGTTGTCTGGTGGCTGATGCTAGGACTTCCAGCACTTAAAACAGAGGAATCGGGGTGCCTGGGTGGCTTAGTCGGTTGAGTTGGCAACTCGTGGTTTTGGCCCAGGTCATGATCTCATGGTTTATGAGCCCCAAGTCGGGCTGGACAGCACAGAGGCTGCTTGGGATTCAGTCTCTCTCTCTCTCTGCCCCTCCCCCTCTCACTCATGTATGTGCTCTCTCTCTTCTCTCTCTCTCTCTCCTTCTCTCAAAATAAAGAAAGTTTAAAAAAGAAACCAGGAGGAATCATATCAGATCACTGAGTAGAAGCATTTTGATGTAAAGCATACCAGCTTCACAACCACGGAGCATAACACCTAAATGAAAGAATAACAGCTAAATGTGTTCCTCTTTCTTTTACAGATGCATTAACTTTCTCCAGCTTCAAAGTTCATTTGGTATCCTATTTATACCAAATGAATTCCTCACTGCTTGAAGGATTCACAGGTTCCTAGATTTACAGTTACTTGTGACTTGGAGGTTATCTATTAAAATAACCACTACAAGGCAGAAATCCCTTCAAAGCCACCCCTGTTGGAAGATCAAAGAGTCAGTGCCCTCCAAGAAGTGAGTAATTTACCCCACATGCCTGAAAGGCTCCTGCTCTGTAGTCTCTCTCTAGATCGGACTTCTTGTGTAAAAAGGAAAAGGTTATGGGTTTTAACATTCATGGAAAATTGGAGTGCCACTTCCTGTCATGAAGCACACCATGAGCTTCATGGATGCTTGTGGACTGATAAATAGAGTTTTAAAACGATCGCAATTATAAATTGAAGGTTCTGATGTACCAAGTGTCAATTAAAATTAAAACTTTTCTGATTGAGGGGAAAAAAGGGATGAAAACAAAATTTAGAATGTGTCAACATAATAATTCTTACATTCCCTTTACCCTAACTTAAAACAAAGAAAGCAAGAGATTAGGTGCAATCAATGCAATTTACAAGTAACATTAAAACTTGATGCTCAGAACAGTCTGATGTAGTTATTAGAAGAATGCTACTTGCTTACCTCTTCATACACCTTCTTGGCATTGTTATTGTCTCCTATCAAGAGGTACCCCACTCCAAGGTCATTCTTTAAAGAAGTATCATCAGGAAAGAGTTGAACTAATTTCTGTAGGGTAATCAGGGAGCCCCTCATATGACCTGGTTTGGTAGGAAGAGACAAACAAGTAAACAAACCCAAAGTCAATAAGACATCTTTGTATTGAGAGTATGAATCACAAGAGACTATTCAACAGAGCCCTTAGGCCAACTTACATCTGACTATAGATTCAATGATGGCCTCTTAGGATTTCATCAGGCAGTTGCAATGATTATCAATAACTTCTATAAGTAGACAGTAATATAATACTGATTATAAACATTTTAAAGACATTCTCATTTTCTAAATCCATTAACATTTATTTTTATGTTGAATTCCTTCTTCAAAAAAATTTTTATCAGTTACTTGTAAAAAATTGTTTCACTGGAATATCTTTGGTTTGTGATGATTAACTTCAGGATTATGAATGGAGAATAAAAAGTCTAACAGACTTCGAGTCCAGCATCCTGTGTGAATCTTAAAGAGGCACTGAAGTACACTGCTGTAGCTCTTTCCAATTAAGAGTGTTCTCATCTCCAGGTAATGGATGACCTAGTCATGGAGCAAAGGAGACATCATCTGGTATTAGGGGACCCTCTGGTGGACGACAGGATACTATGCACAGCAGGAATCACGAAAACTCTAGCTTTGGTTGATTTTTAAGGTTATCTGATGGAAATTTAAAATTTCTAAGACCAACTGTCATTACTCCCCCCTCCCCCCCCCGCCACAGTCAGAAATACATTGAATCTGGGAAAATGTGCAAAGTAAGGCTACTATACACGACAAAATTAATTCCCTAGCCAGTTGCCCACAAATGAAGTAGCAGCCAAGAGTATGATAGGACTATCGAGCTCATGCACTTGTGTTTCCTGCTAACAGTTAACCTATTTCACATAAAACGTCACCAGCTTATCCCATAGTCTTCTCACCCCTTACTGGCCGGTCTTGGATGAGTTTGCTCAGCCATTCATTCCCTCACTACCAAATGTGACTTTACACCTCCCTTCCTCTCTACCTGCCCAATTTAGGCTCATATGTTTCTTCTGTTCCTATGCTTCCCCTGTTAACCACTGCCAAGGTCCAGAAGGAGAATTCCTCCAGCTTCGATCTCTGTTCCTTCCACTCTGCATCATGTGACCCCGTTCTACTGTGAGTAAATTTCACCACCCTGTCACCTTCAACAACATCTTCTCCCTATAAACCTCTCCTCACAGAGCCTCCTCTCATGAGCTTCCTGATTCTCATTTGGAGAAAAAGACTATATTCAAATACTGAAGGATGGCTGCAGAAGGGGTTAGATTTATTCATAGTCAGTCTTTTTCTGTTGGGGCCAGAAACCAGGTGAGGCAAGTGAGGTACTCAAAGCAAAGCTGAAGAGGATGCCAAAAATTCAGTAACCAAGATGAGTGATACTTCTATGTATTCCTTCTAAAAATCAGAATTAATGTAAAAAATCCACAGTGAACAAATATCAACATTTTAAGGACAGATGAAGTAAATAGTGCCTAACAGAACCATACTGGAGACTGAGGCAAGAGGAAAATTCAGTAATACTGATTTTGTGCCTAAGGCAAGTGCCTCCCTTGCCTTTTCCAACCTGTATGGGCGCCATATGCTTTTCTTCTTCTGGACTGGCTCTTCTAAATATAAGTCTAATGGACCTTCTAATGGATCTTCTAGTTTCTAATCATAACGTGGGTTCTGTCCCTATCTGATTAACAGGGTCAGCTGGCTTCCAATATTATTTATATGAGCCTCTTTCAGTGACATCAATAATTGGTCATGTAACTGACCCAGCCACTAGCACCCACTGAACAGTTAGATGTGGCCCAGATTCTTCCATCTGGTTTACTGATGACAAGTGAGGTGGGAAAGAATCGTAAGCCTTGTTACAGTGAAGTTAGGTTAGAGCCAGTCTTATCTGGCTTTGACATGGGAGCCTGGGTCAGAGACGATGCCTTATGCTGCTCTTTTCAAACCACTTACAAATTTACTTAGTGGTTTTAAGAAGTTTTTTTTCCCCTGTCATTTTCCTTGGATGGAGTCAAACTTTACAGGCAAAATTTTTAGTGTCTGAAATTCCTAATATTCCCTCTATAAAAACTGTTGCACTGATAACTTCAACCTCTTGGAATCAATTTGTTAGAGTTAAGAGGGAAAACAGCTTGGCATTGCAGGAAGAGTTTTTGATTCCAGATCTATTACTGTATTAACTATGATTCTTTGGGCAAATTATCCAACCTCCCCGCATCCCATCTGCCTAGCTTTAAAACAGGGCGGGGGAGGTGTGGGGGGGGGGAAGGTGGTAAAATACTATTTGCATCTTTCTAAGTATTAAGGTTAGGGCTGCCAGTTCTGTCTGGGGCACGTTCAGGTAAATGGCCTGAAATCAGTTATGGAATTGGGGTTCCCTTCTAGGTAACTAAGCTCTTCTAAGAATATCAGCACGACGTCTGCTGTTGAAGGAAGTCTTATTCCATCTTACCCAGAAATTGCTGTCTGTCTGAGCGCCGCTTCAAGGTCAGCTTCAGCAGGTCTGTGGTGACATCGGGCAGGCTGGCCACCTCCTGGTAGGTTTCGATGGCCCCACGAAGTATCTCATTGCTCCTTCTTTTCTCGGCCAGATCGTCTTCACACTAGAGGAAGTCCCCACACTGGATAAATGTCCCATGACAAGCTATATTTATAATCACCCGAAATATGCACGTAAAGTTAATTTCTGGACATGCATTAAAAGCAATCTGAGACAGATTAAAATTTCCTCCTTATCAAGTGATTAAAAAGCAAACCAAAAAAGTAGCACAACATGATATTTAAATAACATGAAGAGCAGGTAGCTATCAAGCTACAGAGGAGAAAACATACCATAAAAGCAAGAGGAATTAATATACGCTGGGCGAATGAAGAGCTTATATACATTAACATTACACAGACAGGGCTCCAATCCATCCTTCCTGTTCTCTCAGTAGCCTGTGTGTTCACTCATTCACTTAACAAGTATTAGCTGGGAGCCACGTGGCAGGCAAAATAAACAAAACAAAGCCCTTTTCCCATTCTGCTTCCCTATGAAGAAGAGAAAGCCAATATACAAATGACAGCAGCATGTGCCAGGCGACCACTGATGCCGTAGGAACGACGAAACAGGCTCCGGAGCGCTGGCACCAGTGTGGTGGGGAAGAGTCAGCTGAGGCCGACGAGCAGTGGTGGCCTGGAAGAAGTGAGGGGGTGCGGCATGGGGGGTGCGAAGGAGGACCATTCCAAGGCAGAGAAAACAGCACGAGTGGTGGGCTGGAGAAAGGCTGGTGCAGGGGCCAGGAGGAGGCGGTCAGGCAGTGAAGACCCCGCTGAACTACTGCCAATCCCACTTCGCTACCTCCATGTGAGATGGAAGGGCACCAGGGTTGTTGTTTTTAATGCTTATTTATTTATTTTGAGAGAGAGGGCACGCATGAGCAGGGGAGGGGCAGAGAGAGAGAGAGAGAGAGAGAGAGAGAGAATCTCAAGCAGGCTCCACCCTGTCAGCAGAGCCCAATGTGGGACTCGATCCCACGAACTGTGAGATCACGACCTGAGCCGAAATCAAGAGCCGGACATTTAACCAACTGGGCCTCCCCGGTGTCCCAACACCAGGAGGTTTTGACATGATCTGATGTATGTGTCGAAAGGCCCACACGGGCAGTGGTATGGACAGCGGACGGAACGGGTGGTAGATGCTCCGACAAGATGCCGGCAAGACGCTCCGGCCAGTTAGGATGCTCCGGCAAGAACCCAGATGGGGGGGGAGGGGTGATGACCGTTTGGATGAAGGTGGAGGGAGAGAGCTGGATCACAGATACATTTTGAGGGTCAGAGCCAACAGACCTGCAGGTGGCTGAATGTGACAGAAAGGGAGGGAGAGGAGTCAAGGATGAACTCAAGGGTGTCGGCTGGAGCGATTACCATCTGAAAATGGGAGAAGGGGCACAGCCAGGTGGGCAGGCATTGAGAGCCAGCTGCTCTGTTGTGGAGCTATTACACTCAGCACTGATTAGGCACCCAAGTGCAGACATTGGATAGACAGGTACATATATGAGTCTGGGGTTCAGGAGAGAGGTCAGAAACACGGAGAGGACCAGCAAGAAGCACAGAAAATAACAAAAAAAAGTGACAAGTGACAAAAGGTATGGAGGGAGGTGATCAGTCATGCCAGAAGTGGCCATCAGCTTGGGCATCTTGGTCATGCTGCTGACCGGGCAAGGTGGCACCTCTGATGGCCCTGATATGAGCACGTTTATGGGACCCCTAACAGCATGGGGCAGGATCAGGGGAAACCAGGAGGGGAGGAGGCGCACACGGCCTTTAAAAGGAAGCAGATAAATGAGCCAGTAAGTGGAGAGGAATGTGGAGACCAGAGAGAGGGTTTGTTTTGTTTTGTTTGTTTAACGATGGCAAATATTACAGCATGCTTTTTTTTTTAAAATTTTTAATGTTTTATTTATTTCTGAGAGAGAGAGAGAGAGACAGCATGAGCAGGGGAGGGGCAGAGAGAGAGGGAGACACAGAATCTGAAACAGGCTCCAGGCTGAGCTGTCAGCACAGAGCCTGATGTGGGGCTCGAACCCACAATGACCTGAGCTGCAGTTGGACGCCCAATCTACTGAGCCACCCAGGCGCCCCTACAGCATGCTTCTAAGCTGATACAAAAGAGCTGGTAGAGAGGGAAAACGTGACGATGCAGGAAACAGAAATCAGAATGAGGTCCTTCAGCAGGTGGGAGGCTGGGAAAGGGGGCCAGAGCAGTTCATTCATGCGAATGGGGGGGAGGGGAGAGCACAGGAGAGGAGGGAAGGGGGGCTGTCAGTGCTGTAGTGATATTGTGTGGAAGTTCTCTTTGGATACTTCCGCCTTCTTAGTGATAGAAGCAAGATCCTTCACCGGAGGTTGAGAATGGAAGGTGAAATGCAAGAGGCATAGAGAGGAGAATGTGTCAAACGGCAGTTAAAACCCCATCAGGTTTACTACACTCTAAGTTGAACATTACCATTTGAGGAAAAATGATACCGGTTAGAGGCTAAACGTAGCCTATCCAGTGTTTTTTCAGAATATCCTATTTAACACGTTTACCTTTTCTAAATAAAGTGTGTGTGGCAGTCAAGATACAGGTGCCCGAAGAACCAAAGTGAAACACAATCCACGATCTGAGCACATGGCAAGAAAATGATTCACTCCTCCCCCATCCCAAATCAAAAACTAGCAAGAATCCGCACACATTGATAAAATATCTGTGGAGGACTTTTCAGAAAATAACACATGGAAGAAATAATTTGTTCTGTGCACCGATTAGGTAACTGTCCCAAGATGATGAGGACTGGAATGAAGCAGCAGAGACAGAGAGAAGCGGACAGATTTATGATAAAGGAAGCTGACAGGACAAAAAATCTCTAGATTAAAAAGGGGCAATTCACCCTCGCTTGATAGAAAGGAGCTTCAGAATGTACTGCTATCTATTTGTTCGTATCTGTAAATGGTCCGTCTCCATTAAAGACTTATCTACCAGGTGAGAAAGTCCAATGTCAATGACCCATACTGGGCATCCTGCCCCTATGGCCTTTGGTATATTCATGTGCTGGCTTTTCTGTTTAGGCATCAGGCTCTTGTGAGTTTGGCTATGATGAGTTAACTCCCCAAACATGATCATTCATAGACGACTTCCAGAATGACAGAGTCCTGGAGCTGAGAGAGCCCTTTTGAGACCATGCAGTTCAGCCTCTTCAAGCTACCAAATAGATCCTGGACCCGGAGGGCCTCTTCAAGGTTAGTGGAAGGAGAAATGTCTACCAAGGTAATCCTTCTTTATAGAAATGGAAATAAATGTCTAACTAAACTCAATCTGAAAAGACAGGAAGATGATAAAATTTATATACCTTATTCCCTCTCCTCCACCTGTCCCAAGTTCCTTCATTTTAAAGTAAAACATGTTACAGCTTCCAGATTTGGGAAAATGTCAGTCTTAAAATGGCATATGCTTCTTAAAATCTCTTGAATGAAACTAACAACAGGCTGCTTTGAAAATCAAAATTGTACAGATTTATTGCCATCAGCTTAGCATCTGTACATAGAGTGATTTGGGCAGAAACTGAACATTTGTTCTAGGATGTTAACATCACAAAGCCTTTCGTTGACTTGAAATAATTCAACCATCCAAACTTCCTAGGAAATGTGTCATTTTCTGCCTCAGAGGCATTAATGGTTTGTGTAAGATAATAAAGTGAGTTGAGTTTATAACTTAACATTTTGTATTGATGTTCAGGGAACTTGGTCAAAATTGATTTTCACGGTGATCCAAAGAATAATATAATATCAGTGTCACTTCAGAAACAATGGCTATTGTAGTCTGTATTTAACTTAACGTTGGTGAATTAAAAGAAAAAAATTGTTGGGATAGTCCACATAATTTTTTAATTTGCTAAGAAAGAATGAAAAAGTCATCATTTATTCCTCCCTATGGAATCCATCTTCTTTCAAATTCTTATTTTTAGAACTCCTATGCATTTAAAAAAACTTTAATTACTCTACTAAAAGTTAATTTACCATGCGTAAGTTTTTCTTGATGCCATATTAACATTAATATCAATAATACCTTGTAGTATAATCATTTAGAGATAAAAAAAAATATTGCCTGAGGCCTAAATCTCAAATTCCTACTATTAAGTAAAGATACGAATCCAGCAATCACATGTGCGAAAGTACTGCACTTATTTATTTAGACTCTGGCACCCACAATCACTGTCAGTTACAAAGAAAAAAAAGCACAAAGAATTTTTGCCATAATTAAATTAGCATGTGTATCCATCATTATTCTCTCTAGTTAATATGCTTTCCTAATCAAATGACTGTCAATCTGAGTAACAAAGCACATCACTTATTTGAACAGAGAGTCTTGGTAACAAACACATTTTGGCTTGCTTAACAGCAATGAATTTAGCAATTCTGGAGGATTACTGACCAAATAATATTACAAAAGTGATATAATTCTTGTCTGCCATCCCTGGTCTGTACCATGGATAGGAGAAACTTCTTTGCATTAATTTTTCACAAACTTAATTTATTAAAATTTAAAAAGTAAGTTTTTGATAGAAAGATAAGAATTTGAGCATCTAGACCTCAAGTGGTCTCCACTTTTAGTTCAAAGCAAAACCTACTTGTTTTATCCACAGAAGTGTCAGTTCCCACGTGAGTGCCATACACAAGTCACTGGACTGACCCCCTCCAAAGGGGTCTGGTCAGGTTCTCCTTGGTTGGAAACTTCTGGTAGCTCGGCACCTACTGTTTCCCTCCCAGTAGGGCTGAGAAGCTCATCCCACCAGGCAGGGCTGTGAGAGCTTCACCACTCGACACATTGTGCATCAGCCCCGGCTTCCATCCTGAATTCCAGACATCGTCAACTCAGGGTCTCCTTGACGTGTCCAGTTGAATGTCCAACAGGCATCACAAAGTTTACAGGATGAAAAGTGAATTCTTGACTGATCTATTCCTCTCCCAGTTTTCCCTGTGATTAACCACCACTCTCTCTCATCTGGCCGAACCGGAAATCCAGGCCTCGAGTCCTGTCTTCCAATATTAAGTCCTGAGCCAATATTAAGCCCTCCCCAGCCATTTCCCCACCTGCACGGCCATGACCACAGTCCATGCCGCTGTCCCTTCCGTAGACCTGGAATAGTGTCCTAGTCTTCCGGCTTCTACTTTCACCCCCTAATCTACTCCCCAGCCAGGAACCAAAACAATCTTTGTGAAAAAACAAGATGGCCAAGTCCACACATAAACCCAGGGCATGGAGAACACTGTCCATGAGGCCCTGGACTCACCTGTGTCACTTCACCCTCTCGGCTCGCCCTTCGTTCTGTTCTGGACCTGCTTCTGCCGACATCGCTTCCCTGTGGGCCCGGTCGTTCCCTCAGTGCCCTTGTCACATTTCAGCCACTTGTCACCTTCAGAGACAGGCCTTTCCTGGTCAACTTATCTAAAGTGCTGTCTGCCCTTCCTCCTCAAATCCTATTACCTGCAGCCAAAAAAATCTTAACAGGTATGCTCTTCTTTTCCTTACAATATATATTATATAAGATGGTCGAATGTGTTTGTTTAATACTTTAAATATCCTTAAATATATATTTCTTTATATATTTATTCAGGGCCTTGCTCAAATATCACCTCCTGTGTAGACTTCTCCCTGACACCTTATCCGCCATACCGACTGCCTCACACATCCTATGGCTGTACTGGTTTTCTTAGGTTCTCCTTAGTCCTGATCACAAACACGCACGTATCTCATTTTGTCCCAGGCTTTGCCGAGACAGCGACAACCCTGTATGTTTTGCTGACGAGTCCACGTGCAGTGCCTAGAACGGGGCCTGGCACACAGTGGGCTTTCTCTACGTAATTTTTAAATACTTTCCACGGGAATACAGGACGACCCACCAGGACAGAGACGTCTAGACTGTTCGTTACGATAATCCCAGGGTCTGAGAGAGCACGTGGCACATGGGGGATTTAAGCGATTATAGATGAGTGTGGACAAGCTTCACACAATGAAGAGCTGGAAGATGGGGAACGTGAGAGAAGAAAGGAGACGAAGAGGTGGAGACGGGAAGACAGGAGATGGGAGAAAGGAGTCCGCGGAAAGAAACCACCGAGGAAACACAGTACATTCCACCTTATATCTTCACATCTCTCCTAAGCACACTTGCAGCCTCCAGTTACAAAGCTGAGGTCCTTAAAGCTCTGAGGAGCCTCCAGTGAAAACTGTGTGGAATGCGGCATGACAGTAACGGGAAACCGATGACGAAAGCGTTCCTCTTGATCGTCTTTTCAAAAGCAGAGAGAAGTCCAATGGAGGGAGGGCAAGAAAATGTAACTAAATTCCCCGGGCCGCGATAGCAAGTGAATTGTCTTATTTACAGCAGTAATTTTTGCTTGACTTTACACATATGCACGAGAAATGGATCCTGAACACAAGTTAGAAGAGAAAAGAGAAGCGCAATAGTGGGCAGTGAAAAATCCATTACATGGAACACAAACACCAAAAACATTTTCTATGGAAGACGGTTTTCGAATACCTGTGCCTTTCCGTATCTCGCCCGTGGACTCTGAGGGTATTTGCGAACTAGTTCTTGGAATGCACTCAATGCTTCCTCAATTTTTCCCTGTTAGGAAAAGGTAGGTACATAAATGCAGTCAGTTCAGAGGCATAATGTTATTCAATCTGTTGTTGTCTTTTTTTTAACAAATAGATTCCACGTCCATTGTGGGGCTTGAACTCATAACCTCAAGATCAAGGGTCAGGTGCTCTACCAGCCGAGTCACCCAGGTGCCCTCAATGCGGTTTTTCAATATTCACCAACTAACGTTGTCACCATTGCCTGGACTCCATGCTGAGTCTAAAGACAGTTTTACCGCGGATTTTTAAAACATTAACAAGTATGGCAACCGTACAAGTAAACGTGAACATAAATATGTTTTATTTTTTTAAAAAGCAGAAACCTGGCAAAAGATGTAGTATAAGTTTTTGTTTAAAAAAATCTGCATTTTCTCTTTATATGCGCAGTTCCTGTAGGCATTAGTTTTTCATTTTCTTTTTACCTGAAGTATAGTCGGCGCACAGTGTTACACTGGTTTCAGGTGTACAACACGGTGATTCAACAACCTCCACGTTCTGCCGTGCTCACCACAAGGGTAGCTACCGCCTGTCACCAGACAACACCGTTACTAAATCACCGACTATATTCTTGAATATTTCGGTTTTAAGTTGGGGGCAAATCCTGCAGGCAGCTGGAATGCCGTGGGCTCTGCAGGGAGAAGTCTGAAGCTCCCGGCGGGGTGGCGCATAAGCCTGCAGGTTGAGGAGGCCGCCAGGCAAGGGTACCTGCACCCACTGCACAGCAGGATGGATCTGGCTCATCTGGTTGACTGGGAAAACTCACTGTGTCACGTGACCCCTCCCCAGGGCGCATGTGCACCCTTAAGAAGATGGTCCGAGCACCTGTGATAGGTCTCTGACCAGCAGCACAGGGGAAGCGGCAGAGGGTGAGGAACCCTCTCCCCACCACTCTCCATCCACGGCCATTGCACGGGGTGGAACAAATGTCTCCTGATTTTTTTTTTAATTTTTTATAGTTTATTTATTTTTGAGACAGAGCATGAGTGGGGGAGGGGCAGAGAGTGAGCGAGACACAGAATCCGAAACAGGCTCCAGGCTCTGAGCTGTCAGCACAGAGCCTGATGGGGGGCTCGAACCCACGAACCGAGAGATCTGACCTGAGCCGAAGTCTGACGCCCACCCGACTGAGCCACTCAGATGCCCCAAATGTCTCCTGATTTCTAATGGATGGACGCAGGTCGAGGATGTTGGGAACCACGGGATGGAGACAGATGTTCTGAGATGAACTTTTGCGGACACTTCAGCTCCTTATAAATCGGTAAACCCAGTCATCCTCATATAAATGGATGCTTGCTGTGGTTTACGTGTTTTGACATTCACTGAGTGAGTTTTCACATGACACAGTTTACCTCTCCGATGTGGCTGTGCAAAGCCAACTGTACATACCACCCAGCGGTTATTTACACCGACTTCTGACAGACTTGACTAGAGAAGGGTCAGGCAGCGTCCACATTAAAGGCACATAAGATCATTTCTTTAGGTGGGCATTCTTGAAGAGAGAGGCCTTCGTTTCCTCTCACATGCACGTAAGTGGTGCTGAGGGGCTGGTGGGAAATATATGCATAGGGAGGGGCCGTGAGTGCCGAATCCAGGGCCAGGCTGGCTGATTAGAGTCTGGTCTCCCCCGCTTGGAAGGTGTATGGCTTAGAGCAAGTTAGTTATGACTCCGTCTCTGGCGCCTCGCCTGTACAGTGGGGCTGAGGGTACTTAACTGCCCCATGGGGGTGCTGTTACGGGTGAGTCTGGTAACAGAGAGGAAGTGCTGGCAGACACGGCACAGAGCACGTGGTGTGTGGGGACTGTGTGTGTCGCACAAGATAACGGCGCCGTCCCAGAGACGCCTCTGACCTGACAGACAGGCAGTCAATGCGGACAACGTGGACTTGGCTGGAGACAGAAATCAAGCCAGGAACACACACTCTGCCTCACATTTATTATCGGAAATGGCTGTATCGCTTTTTAAAATGTGCTGTCTTCTCACGACGTTAGGTTCTTTAAAGACTTTATTTTTTAAGGGGAGTTTTAGGCTCATGGCAAAACGGAGAGAAAGTACAGGCGTTTCATGTACCTGCTACCTCCCCCATGATTAACATCCTGTACCCCAGTGGTACATCTGTTACAAATGGTGAACATACCATATCAAAATCGCCCAAAGTCCACAGTTGACCTTAGGGTTCACGGTCGCTGTCGTATGTTCTGTGGGTTTGGACCGATGTCTCCTGACGGTGTCCACCATTATAGTGTCATACAGACTAGTTTCACTGCCCTAAAAATCCTCAGGTTTTCACCTGTTCATCCCTCTCCCCACCCACTCTGAAAGGATGAATTCATGTTAAATATCTTTTTCTGTGTGACTTTCTTCTAATGGCCCAGTATTAGAAGAGGAAAGGATTCACTGATTCCAAGCAATTTCAAACTGCAGGCAGGTAGATTCTTAGGTCTGAAAGTCTGTGGCTTGAGGCTCTGGCTTCAGAGCCCTTGTCTCTGGCTTCTGGGCCCAAGACTCTGCCCTCGGAGTTCTCTTTCCTTTCTGTTGAAAGGGGGGCTCGTGTTATCAACCTGCTTCTCACCTGCAGGACTCTGGGAATCTGCCAGCCTTCTCTCAGTTTGTCCTCTGTCTCTTTCAGGTCAAGGTGGCCGTCCTTCTCTTGGTATAAGATTCTCAAAAACCCTCTTTTGTGTATGTCACAGGGATTCGTGCCGTTAGGTAAGAGTCACTGCCACAGACCTTTCCAGGATGATCCCATTTCGATTCCTGACTTCTGCCAGACGGTTGAGTAGATCTGAGAGCCATGCATCCACTCTCTTCAGGAAAAGGATGGCCAACATGCCCCCGGCCTTCTTTCCAGACCACCCTTTCTTAACTAACAATGAACTTCCTACTTGTAGCACCTTCTGCAATCTGGAGAGACTAAGAAATCTCCCCAGACTATCACTTCCTGGCTCCTTTTGCTCTAACCATTCCTTCGCTAATTATCACGTTCCTCTCATATTTTATGAGAAGCAGCAAAAACGAACCAGGCCACATCCTCCTCACTTGGCTTGGACATCTCCTCAGCTAAATATCCAAGTTCATCGCTTACACGGTTTGCTTGGCCCAGGCCTGTAAGATACAATTCAGTTGAGTGTTCTGCTACCCTGTAGCAAGGAATGCCTTTCCTCCGATTTCAGTGCCCTGTTCCTCATTTCCTTCTGGGCTCTGGCCACAAAGAAGCACTTTTAACATCTCTGTTTCTATCAACACTCTGTATGCAATGATATATGTATTCTCCAAAGATGATCAATAAACCTTTCTCTACAGCGCTCCCCACTTCCTCGGAGTCCGAGCCGGAAGTAGTTTTCACATCCATATTTCTATGAACAGTCTGGTTAAGGCCATCCAGGCTTTCACTCTCATGTGTCGCAAACTTCTTTCAGCCTCTACCCCTAACCCAATTCTCCAAAGCCACTTGCACATTTTTAAGGATTTGCTACAGGAGCACCTCGCTGCGCGGCACCAAAATCTGGATTCATTTCCTATAGCTGTTGTAACAAACTACTGGAAACCTGATGGCTGCAACAGCAGAAATGTATTCCTCAGCACTGTGGAGAACAGAAGTCCGAACTTGGTTTCGCTGGGCTGCGATCGAGATGTCGCCAGAGCCACGCTTCCTCCAGACGCTCTGGGGGACAATCTGCTCCATGCCTCCCGATGGCCTTTCCGGCCTGTGGATGCATTACTCTAATCTTCACTGCAGTTTTCACGCTGCCTTCTCCTCTCTGTCTCCTATTTTGTCTGTATCCAATCTCCCTCTGCCTTTCTCTTATAAAGAAACATGTGGTTGCATTTGGGGCCCAAGAGGATAACCCAGAATAATCTCCCCATTTCAAGATCCTTAACTGAATCATATTTGCAAAGACTCTTTTTCTAAACACAATCATGCTTCCCGGATCCAGGGATGAGGGCATGGGCACTATTCTTAGTGTTACCGTATGCATTATGTAACTCAAACTGCAAATGTCGAGGCTATTTTTGTGAAAATCACGCTAAACACACCATTATAGTTTAAAACATAGGACTGAATAACAATATTCGTAACAAATTTGCTGAAGTGTTTTGTTCCCTCTAGACACTCCCTTAGTTGGCCATCAAGGTTATAAAAATAACGGCATAGTTTGGCCTGACCTAGGCATCCTTCGGGTCCCCTTCAGTCAGACACCGTGTTGCCTTGCTAAAGGGGCTGTCAGCCCTGCTCTTCCCTCAGGTGGTTGACAAAGTGAAGGTGTTTGCTTTGAGTGTGAAGGAATTTCCCTTCCCCAGAATCTTACTAGACAACACAGCTCCTGACACTATTATGCAATTCTTATTTACAGACTCACAAGCAAGGTACAATGCTTGTGAAGAACTGCCTAAAAATCCTCTCTTTCGACACAGCTTACATTTTCTCCCAGGACCAAAACACGTACTTGGGCCCCACTGCGTTGGCATGAGCCCAACGGGTTGTGCTGAAGGACACTGAGACACGCCCCCACAGGCGTCCTGTAGAATCTGGGGGTGTGGTGTTAGGGGGGGAAGCGTGCCATCCATCAGCGTGCGCTTTATGAAGATCCGCAGCAGAACGTTTCTCTCTGGACGAGGTAGAGGACAGCGACTCTGATGAACACCATCAATCTTACAGGACGATGCTGTTCCCCTTGAGCTCTGCATACAGTGTACTTCCTTCATCCCAAGCACCATTTAGAGCCTGTGACGTAAATCCGATGTGCTGGCCTTCCTCTGGCCTTATTACGTTTTCCGTTTTCCCTCTCTTTTTTCACTTAAAATACAATAATAATAAATGGCACCAGCAAATAAATCTTTCAGCTTATCACTTCAAATCCTTTTTTCCAGGGGTGAGGAAGATTTTAAGCAATACATACTACTTCTGAAAAATAGATGACTGAAATACGATCTGATCTCTACATTCTGGATGGAAAAATAAAGTGACCTCACACTTTTGTGTCGCATTGTACTCAATCCTGGGGTGGCCAATCACATCATCTGAAAATATCAGCCATAAAAATAACCTTAACAATTATGCTGATAATTCAGCCAACAGTATGGCTCCATGCTGTTTCACATACAAGAATTGTAGCTACTTCTTCCTCCTTTATTTAGTCTGTTAGAAATTCAGGGTGCTTCTTGAGGAATGAACGATAATTTCTCCAAATAAGCGAGAGCCAGAGAACACCCCATGGACTGTTCTAGCATTTTTATGTTCCACTGACTTATCTGCCCCTTGGTAACTGAGCTCTTTACCATTCATTAGAATTACATAAAAATCTGTCTCTAAACTTGTTCATTTGTCCTTTATCCCAAAAGTCACCTGTGAAATAGGCACCCCACATTTTCACACATGGCGTTTAATAAAGAGCAAGTGGAGGATGCCAGAAAAAGTGACCGAAAAAGAAGATTTAAATGCAAATTTCCTACAGATAGTAGACGGCTTCCTTTTGTAAAGCTACACCAGACAGACTCAGAAATCATTCCAGTGGTCAAATTTAAGGGCAGGGAACAAGAGCTTTGCTCCCACATTCTCTGGCGTGACTACATGTTTATCGGCTGCCGAGGAGGGTAAGCCCGCCTTGGCTTGCAAACCTCGTGTAATGCTAGTTACAGAAGTGTCCGTGCTTACTGGTACATTTCTGATGAATATGTGGGAAGCACATTCTTGTCCCACTTCCGTTCCTAACTTGTGTGCTTTTGTTGTTGCTTATTTACTTATAATCCCCCTGCCCCATCTCTGCAGCCAATGTCTACTTGGTAAAAAAGCATTTACAGGAAAACTAATGATCATTACACAAAGTCTAATTCATGTATGGAGTAGAGAAAGAGCAATTTCCATGGCAAACAAGTAGATGATTAAGTGGAAGTGTTATTAAAAGCATTATTATAAGTGTTTAACCTGATAATTAGATGAAGAATATGACTAAGAGAACAAGTAACTTCAATCTAGTGTCAGCTTCTTTTTTCTAACTGCAATACCCAGAAACAAATGCAAGTAATATTTCAAATTAACTGATAACAACACAAAACATGTAACAGTCTCCCTGAAAACTGCAGGCGCCTGGGATTAACCCCAAGTGAGAAGAATGGTAAACCCAAGGTCATTTCACCCAACAGTAACAACCTAGAGTACTGGACTAACTTACTTTTTCTTTTTGCATTGAGATGCCATACAATTAAAAACTTTTAGAAAAGGAACTTACTATTCTCGTTTTTTAAAATAAGGAAACTGAGCTCAGAACGGCCAAGTGTTTTGTCGAAAGCCACAGGACTAGCAAGTAGTGGAGGTAGGCTGACCTGAAGTTAGCCGACCTAAATGTTAGTTCTATTTCTATCTGGCCATACAGCCGCGATTCTTCCTTCTACTTGATTCATTTCACGTGGAATGCTGATGCTCTTGGGGAAAAACCACTCTATTCAAGGGCTGTTTCTATTATTGTTATTATTATTATTATTACTATTTTAACAATTCAAGAGTAATGCCTGAATTTATTTTAATTGCACATTTCTCCAGCAGAGAAGAACATCAACATACCCTTTTACGAAGTTTTTCTGCAGCATCAAGTTCAGCTTTAATAGTCTTATCAAATTTATTTAATAGTTTAGGCTTCTTTTTCTTAACTGAAAGAAAAAAGAGGTTTTATTTGGCTTTTTTTTTTTTTTTTTTGGTTTAGAAAAAATTATTAAGAATAGTGATTCACAAGTAATGAGAAACCTGTAGCCGCAGGAGCAAACACACCCCCAGCTCACCTCTTCTCACCCCCACCCCTAGTACGACACGGCCAGTCGCTGCCACGGGAGACACCACCGCCCTTAGATGCTCACAGGTGCTCCTGGGAGCCTGGGTGGGTCCTGGTATCCTGAAACTCACAAGGGATACTGGGCTAGTGTCCAGAATAAAAATGGTAGGTGTGATTCACCAACTCTCATTACCAACTTTTTGGTGAGAGCAAAAGACTGCTTAAAATAAGTTTTGAATATTTCTACAGTGTTTCTGATCAGATAAAGATAAAAATGGGGAAGTCAACGGGAAATCTCAAGGGAGTCAACTCTAACAGAACTTCGTAGTCTAGTGCTCATTCTGTTGCAAAATGGATACCACTCCAGCTATATTCCACACTTCAGCCAAACAGGACCATTTTGTGTTCCCCAAAATAAGCTCTGTGGCACTTCTGATACTACTTGCTCTAAGTAAAATTGCCTACTGTTTACCTTTGTCAGTTGAAAATATACTCATCCTTCAACAAACAGCTCAAAACTACACTCTTCATAAAGTTTCTCCAGATGTCATTCACATACATGCTCAGTTCTGCCTCCATCACTTTATTTCCCCTCTGGATTCAAGTGCACAGCACCCTGCATCTCTCTCTTTCATGGTCCTTCTCCCATCTCCCATATGACTTGTATTAAGATTCTTTTTTTTTTAAACTTCATGCCCAGCATGGAGCCCAATGAGGGGCTTGAACTCACAACCCTGAGATCAAGACCTGAGCCGAGATCAAGAGCTGGACACTTCACCGACTGAGCCATCCGGCCACCCTCCATCTGACTTGGATCCTAACCGTTTGTGTAGTTAGTCCTTTCCAAGTCCTAAGCTCCCGCAGAGGGCCACCATTCTTAGATGCAAACTGAACTGATCCAGCAGGTGGATCAGCTCACTGAGCAGGAAGTCACATCCAGCTGGGGGGGGCGGGTCCTGCTGGTGCACACCTAACCGTGTCTGTGGGGTGGATGGAGGCCGCAAGGTCCATCCTATGGGCCCAGGAGAGTGACGGGGCGGGGCCTTGAAGGGCAAGTGGGACGTTCCAGATGGAGAAGGGGGTTGGTAGTGGGACAGGGGGAGAAGGTGGAGAGAGACACAGAATGAGAACAATCAGAAGAGAACTTCTTTAATGTTCTGACACTGACCTACATATCCATTGCTTCCGCTCTCTCCGGTCACAGAGGAGGAGCTCTTCTTTATAAGATCCCTCCCCTCCGCACACACACCTGTCCTCTGCCTTCTGCATGTCCTAGCTGTCTCCTCACTCCCTGGCTCTATTCCAAGCATCTCCTGTCATTTAATAATGCTGAAGTCTTTACCACCTTAAAGCGAACCAACACCAGCCAAGACAAACCTCAGGGTACCCTCGTCTACCTGCGGTCCTTTCTTACTCACCCCTCACTCCTGGCTCCTCAACTCAGTGCTCGGGCATCCTCACCCAACACAGGGCAAAAGCAAGTCTTCTGGAAGGAAGGGGAGCTCAGTGGTTAAGAGTCAGATGGCAGGGGTCTGATCCCAACTCTGTGACTTCCCATGCTCTGTGACCTAAGAGCAAAGCTTTTCTGGCTCTTCCTTCCCTAATCTGTAAAATGGGGGTCGCGTGTTTGAGAAGCTGATGTTGCACTTGAGCACACGGCGCAGTGCCTGGCATACATTAAGTGCTCCGCGTCTGACAGCTAACACTGCCTATGGCCTTCTCTGGAAACCCATCCGTTCCTCCTTCTCCCTATCCTGGCTGAGGCCTCTCCAGTATCTGGGCCAGCTGGCTCTTCTCTCCTTCCTGAGTCGACCCCTGTCCTTGACTTCGTTCTGCGCTCTCTGCTTTCCTAGCTGTCCCCGTTCTCCTCCGGACTCTGCACTGCCCCCCCAGCTCCTCTGTGGCTCCTGCCCCCTCTGGCCCCTGTGCTCTGCAGGGTCAGTCTTCAGCCCTGTACTGGGCTTCCTTTAACAGTTCAATCTCCAAATAGAACTACAAATTAATTTTCTTTTATTGGAATTTTTTTCATGTTTATTTATTTATGTTGAGAGAGAGAGAGAGCATGAGCAGGGGAGGGGCAGAGAGAGAGGGAGAGAGAGAATCCCCAGGAAGCTCCTGCCGGTGCAGAGCCCGACCTGGGGCTCAGTCTCATGAACTGCAAGATCGCGACCTGAGCTGAAATCAAGAGCTGGATGCTCAATGCACTAAGCCATCAAGGCGCTCCTCTTTTGCATTACAAAAATCATAAATCCATATGCCTATGAATTACGACACAGGTGCCTCAAGCTCGGTACATAAGAACTCGACTGCACTCTTGCTCACTAACCTAGTCTTTCTCATGTCTGCCCTTTCAGAGGATGGCACCATATCCAGCCGCTTGTCCAAACCACAGAACTGGTTAGAGAGGGCTAATACGACAGGGCAAAGAAGGAACCCGCGGATTTGTGCAAAGACTGAATGGAATCACCACTTTTTTTTTTTTTTTTTTTTTTGTATTCATTCTGGGCCAGTCTCCATGCTGGGTGCTTTACATGTATCTCCTTCAATCCTCCTGACCTCCTAGACATAGGGAACTTAACTTCACAGGCATGTCACTGAGGGTCCAAAAGGGTTAGTCCCTTGATACCTCCCCTCCCTCATCCACGCGGGAAAGGTGGTTTCCACCCAAATGGTTTGCAAAGGGAAGGACATTTCCTAAAGCCTCGTAGCCTCTAACCTCTCCCCACAGGGGACGTGGTGTGACTTATCCGCTCATTGGCTGGGGGACATGATAAGCCTGCGTGACTCATTCCCACCCCCCTCTTCCTCCCAAGAACACATCTGAGCTGACCACAGTCTTACAGGGAAACCCCCACAGGGGGTGTTCGGGCTGCCTGAAGTGGGCAGGTGCGTCTCATTATTAGCAATAAACCCATTATTCTTGCTTTTCCTGCCCACCCTTCAATTCAGTCTTCATCAGCAAAAAAGCGGACACTCTGCTCATCTTTCCTTTGCTTCATTCCTTGTGCATTAAAAAAAATTTTGTTGTGCTCTTTGATGTGTTTATTCGATCTTCCCCCTCCCTGAACCCTCGGGACCCTATTGTTAAAAAATACAAATGGCTAGAGCAGAGCCTGACAAAATAGGGGATAAAGGGCGTTTCCAACTGCGTGTCCCTATACGTTAGCATATATGCTAAGGATATGGAAAACAAACTGACGTATGACTGAGATGTGAATTCACAGTGGTGAGTTACTGCCTTGTCGTCGCAGCACTGACTTATGTCTCTCAATTGCTCATTTTGGTTTTGCAGAAGTGTCCGTTGGCAGAATGCCAGTGGGACCAGGAAAGCCCAGCGTGTACCTGCCTAGAGGGCGTTACTGCCGGCGTCTCTGGTTCTCGCAAATCTGACTCCCGTTTTACAAAGGTAACACGAGACTTATCCAGAAGAAGAAAAATAAACTACTGGCAGCTCAGGACATCCAACAGAGTCAACAGTAAAATAATATGCTTGTGAAACAGCTATGTTGTATCTCAATGACAAAATATTTCAACGCCATCACAGAAAACAGACAAAATATTAAAACTCTTAACATATTTCTTCTCATACATCTTCAAATGTAATAGTACCTATTTTGCTTCTCTATGAAATTCAAGTCCTGTCCTACCGTGGCTACTTTTATTTTTAAATGTATAAGAAGCCCAAGGCAATTTTCCCGATTCTAAAAAACACAGACAGATCTTGTCCTTCTTGCTATGGGGAGGCACATGGCCAAGCCACAGAAACGACAATGAGGGCTCATGGTCAGCGAGGAGCCAGGCTGTCGGGTGCTTTCGGCCTCAATGTTCTCATCATGAGTTACTTGGGCTGGTTGTGTTCAGGTCTCTTTGAACTTGGAAATCCTGTGCTTTAAAAAAAATGTTTTTAATGCTTATTTATTAAAAAACTTTTTAAAAATGTTTTATTTATTTCTGAGAGAAAGAGAGAGAGATACAGCATGAGCAGGGGAGGGTCAGAGAGAGAAGGAGGTACAGAATCTGAAGCAGGCTCCAGGCTCTGAGCCAGCTGTCAGCAGAGCCCAACGCGGGGCTCGAACCCACGAACCATGAGATCATGACCTGAGCCGAAGTCAGACGCTGAACCGACTGAGCCATCCAGGTGCCCCATTGTTTATTTATTTTTGAGACAGAGAGAGACAGAGCGTGAGCAGGGCAAGGGCAGAGAGAGGGAGGGAGACACAGAATCTGAAGCAAGCTGCAGGCTCCAAGGGGTCAGCACAGAGTCCAACGTGGGGCTCGAACTCACGGACCGTGAGATCATGACTTGAGCCAAAGTCAGACGCTTAACCTACTGAGCCACTCAGGCACCCCGGAAATCCCATGCTTTTAATTTTCAGTTGACTGAAATCATGTTACTAATCTTTCAGAGTAGACCTAGAAGGTACTGGTAGGAATTGTTAATTTTGTTGAACATGGATTTAAAAACAAATGGTTTAGAAGGAAGCTATTTATGCTATATTAAACTTTGTATAAAAATAATCACCACCATCTTCCAAAACCTCCAAGAAGGGAAAAAGTGCATTTCAGTTGCATTTCAAATTCTTAGTTCCCCTGCCATGCCATGGTTGAAATGTTAAGAAGAAATAAGAAGAAAAATAAAAGAATGAAGACTATGAAAAAAGACCCTAGCAATACATACTTAGATTACATAAAAATTAATGTTGATTCCATTTTCATTTCTACTTGGTCCACAAATGAAGATGTTTTTATATTACGGTGCATGGGTAGAATCTGACCACCAAGAGAAACAGACACAATCTCTGTATTATTTTATGTTTTAAACCCACTCTGTTAGAAAAGAGTGATGGAAATGGCAACATCTGCCACATGGTAGACAGGAAAGCAACAATTTCCTAACCGGTCTCCCTGCTTCCAGTCTGTCCCCATGCTCTATCTACACTGTCCCAAAGATCTTTGCGTCCATGTCTCTCACTGTTTAAATACACTCACAGAACCCTGAACATACGAAATAAAAGTGAAATTCCTTGGAATGTCACCTTAGCACTCCCGGTCCTGGTTACCTAGCCAAGAGAAATGAAAACATACGCCCACACAAAGTCTTGTCTGTGTATATTCACCGCAGCATAGTTAGTAATAGCCAAAGAGTAGGAAAAAAACAAATGTCCATCAACTGGGGAATGGCTGATTTGTGACGTAGTGATACAATGGACCACAATATGCATAATGTACCTCAAATATATTATGTTAAGTAAAAGAGGCCAAATTCAAATGGCCACTGACTGGATGATTCCCTTTATATGGCACTTTGGAAAAGGGAAAACTGCAAGGAAAGAAAACAGGTAAGTGATTCCAGAGGCTGGAAATGGGGAACGAGGCTGACTGCAAAGGGTACAAGAGAATTCTGGGGCTACAGTATTGTATATCTTAACTACGATGGATGGGCTGTATCTAGATGTCTACGCCTATGTCAAAACTCAGATCCCTGCACACTTGGATATATGCAGTTTGGACTTAACCACATGCAAATTACGTTTCAGTACAGCCTTCACGAAAACGTTATAAGGAAGAGACAAGCTACGCGATTCTCAAGGATTCTTATCATAGGTACAACAGTATGAAAACCATTTGGGCATGAAAATATAACTCTTGTAAAAATAAAAATAAAATTGAATCTGATTATGAGCCCCCTCCTTGCCATGAATCTATTGGGAAGTAATTCAAACTCAACTACAACTTAGAGGCTTCTTCCTGTACAAAAAAAAAAAAAAAAAAAGGAAAGTTGTTCCTCCAGACCTAATGAGGCCCTTGATGACATCTATATATTCTTATTTAATATCCCAGCTACTTTTTTAAATCCTGATTGCCCACCTCTCTCTCTTACCATTCACTCTACCCTCCGAATATTCTACTCTTTAAAAAAAATTAATAATTTTTTGACTACTCTTGAACTACATCAAAAGGTTGCTGTTCTTCAGTGTTTGAACACAATGGAGACAGCCCAAGGCCTGTGGGTGGAGACCAACCTTCTTCACTGACTGGGTCATTCTTTCAACTATTTGCTAAAATGCCATGTGTTCCAAGGACTGTGCTAGATGCTGGGAATTGAACAGAATCTTCCTCAAGGAGGCTAGGGTCGTACTGAGAAGAAAGATGTAAATGGATAATTAACCTTTAGAGGAATGGGTTTAAGGATGGATCAGGAGTGGTGCTAATCTATTTGGGAGGCAGAAGGGAAAGCTTCCTGGGGAAACTCAGAATGCAAGTATACCCAGGTAGTGGTAGCATTATTCTGGGCAGATGAAGAAGTATCTGTTTTGTAATTCATTTACAACTGGGGACTTGTACCTTCATCATTAGTTACTTCCCTTGGAAGTGAAAGACCAACCATCTCCTTCTGTTTGGATGATAGCGTTTGGTACTTACCATCTGTGTGAATGCTCTCATTATAGGAAGCTGAAGGCAGAGGTATTGTTCAGGGACTCTGGGCACTAACTTGCTCTCTCCTCACATTTGAGGATCTGGCCTTAGTGATGCAGAGTCTACTCTAAGAGCAGAGAGCAAAGTGCATGATTAGGGAGTATAAGTTTTGTTGAGAGAGGCTGTATGCCCCAACTATAAAGTGGCAGTGGTACAGCAAGAATTGGGCTTTTGAAAATATGCAAAAGACACAAAGGGCACAACCCCACCCCAGACAAGGGATTCCAGATGCCAAGGGATGCCACGCTGAAGGCCATGGTATCTGCTCCTGTCCTGGGCCGCCATTTTGCTCTTGATACAATTGTATATGCTAATTAAGGACCTTCGACCAACTACACTCTGAGGCAGAGAGAGAAAAAGAATGAGAATTTCTCCCACTAAGTCAAAACGCCCCAAATGCTTCATTTATTCAAGGGAAATCATGTCCATCTTGAGCTCTTTCACAGCTGTGCTTCCTTAGCCAGGTTTACTGCCTTTCACAAACTGTCCCCCATCTCTGTTTTCCTCTCCTGTTCTGTACTCGCAAAGCGCTTCATGTTTCCTCTAGGTAGCCTCTCAAATATGGCATGAACCTTGACACCTCTGTGACTCTTCCCATCGTGTTTTCTTTGTCTGGAAAATGCTTCGCTCTATTCCTACCCAACAATACTCTGCACTTCAACTTTCAAAACTAGCCATTCCCTCTATTTAGTCATCTAAGACTTCATCATGCAAAAACAAAAACAAAAACAAAAACCCTTCTCTTCTGTGCTCATATAACATTTTGTTTCTAGAAACAGTAAACTTTTCAGGCTGTGTTTAAGGTGGCTGTATATTTAGCTTGTGCACCCTCACCCTCTCTCTCTTCCCACCAAGACTCCCCAACTCTGGCTGGATTGTTAATTTGAGTGAGAAAAGAACCGTGTCTTACTTGCAACTTATTTCCAGCATTCAGCACATGGCCTGTCCTACAGAGAAGGTCCTTGACAAAGGTTTCCAGACATATGTAAGCATGAATGAATCAAGACATTCTGGAAGGGGGTAGGACAATGTCAGCTGTAACTTAGGCATATCAGCTATTTTAAAAAAAATCAGCATATCATAAACAATCAAGAAGAGAATGAGCTGAGAGTACCTTTTTTTTTTTTTTTTTTTTAAAAAGGTCTAATCCAAAAAGAATCAATGGCCAACAGTGGAGGGGACAGAAGGAAAAGATAAGAGGAAGAAACAGGGTATATGCCAGCCAATCCTCCCTGAAAAATGATAGAGGACACTGATACTTAATTCCCGTGTCTCATTCCATCCTTATTTTTCAGTATATTCAGCAATTTATCACACAAATGGTAGAATACTAGACACAACTGCAGGGGCGAAGGACAGGCTGCCCCAAGACGGGCCAATTTGGCATGATGATTTTTTGGAGTTAAAAGCCATCAAAACCCAGCAGATTCAGGAAAAGCTCTTTACCTCCCTGAAGGCTGCTGTAAAGAAACTGGTGAGAGGACTCACTCCAGGAAAAGAGCTACCTCCATAGATAACTACGTCATGATATGAAGTAGACAGGTAGGCGGGGAGGAAGCTAGCAAGGCCTGTTTGATCAAAGTTCTGTATCGCTCACTGTTTCAAATGGCAAATATTTGCTTACCAAACATTTACTCTCATCTTCTCCTGAACTGCATCCCTTTCCTTGGAAGTCCCAGATCCCTACCTCTTTCTTCCCTACCCCTTAGTTCAAGATGACCTACTCACTGTCTGCAATTTCCATGTCTGTATGGATTCCCCATTGGTACAAAACTAGATTTGATTTTCTCCTGCTAATCTGCCTCATGCCAAATTTGATACTTATTCTGGCCAGAGGGACCTTGAAGGGCAAAGGAAATTCTTCCTCCCCAACACAACTAACCAGTAAGTTCTTAGACTGCAATATTCAGCTAATTTTAGCAGAATATAAGTTCACAAAGCAACTTGCTTTTATGTTCTGAGTCACTGCTTAATACCTTATCAAATTGTTTGCTGGTAATAAGAGTTGACATTTACTGAGTACTTTACTCTGCTAGACATATGTGACTCACCCAGGCTGTGCAAACT